TGAATGAGATGAGCATGAAATGATACAAGATGTGTCAAAAGAAATGGCACATAGTTGGAATGTAACCATCTTTCATTTTTTTTAAAAAAAAAATTTAACTATTAAAGAGGTGGCAAGAAGGCCAGCCAAACTTTCAGAAAGAAAAAAACCAAACAAATCAGATATTTCAGGGAAGGTGGAAATGTACTGGCTTGAGCAGGATCCTTCCTGTCTTCCTCCTTTCTTCCTTCCCTTCCTTCCTTTTCTTTTTGATTCTTGTAGTACTTTTCTCTTTTGGAACAGGGGTACTTCTGCACAGTGGAAACTCAAATAGGGGCAGTTTTTGTCCCAACAAAGGACTATGGTTGTCCCCTGCTCCCTTAGTGATAAATACAAACTGCATGTAAATAAGATCAATTGAGCTGTGGTGGGTTTTGAATACACAACCATCAAGATAAATGGGCATTCCAAATAAATCCCAGCTCTCAGACAATGCCTGAGTTAAAATGAAACTTACTTGACATTAAAGCCAAGATGCAGGCTTCAGGTCCTATAAGGAAACCGGAGGCCTTTGCTGATTCATTCATCCATTTGCCCATTTGCCTAGCGGCAGCCTAGACTTACAAAGGTGGAAAAAGTCATTCTAATAGGAGAGAAAGGCAAATAAGCAGTTAAAGATAGACATTCACTGGTATCTCTGAAAATATACAGCAGCAACAGAAATGCTCAGGCAGCACTCACTTGATTCTGTTCTGTGAGTCTCTACCATGTGCCTCAGATTGGACTAGACACCACGAGGACCTAAGAAGCAGAAGAAAAGGTACCAAGTAGGTAGTGTAGAGACAGGACAAATGTGAATAAATAGTTGACAGAGGAAGAGCATAAGCACATTGCCATTTATTGAGCACTTATTTTGTACCAGGAACGGGGGTGGGGGGAGATTTGGCTCAATTAATTTTGCCAACAACTTTTGAGTCAATATCATTATCCCCATTTTACAGACGAACAAACTGAGTCTTACAGAGGTTAAGGTATTTTCCTGGCAAATATCAGAGCAGAGAGTCAAACCCAGATCTTACTGACTTTCCAGCCTAGCACTGCTTTTTGAAAATAATTCCATGGCAAGAACCATAATATGACAAATCTAAGGTAGTTTCCAGTGAATAAGAAAGCAAGAATCTGATATTGACGTGAGTATTGAGAAAATCTAATGTGAGATATAAAATATTTTGGTTAGCATTTGTCTAAGAAAGCTTTGGAAAGTTGTATATTTGGCCTCAAAGGAGTGGTCTTTTCATTCCAGGAACCTCAGTTTTGTTATTTTTTGAGGCTATGGTTTAAATCATATATTCCTGGTACAATGTGAAGAAAGATTCTTAAAACCAAAGAAAGAGGGAAAAAATATTATCTGTCATGGCATAGGAGCTGAAATCCAGGTTTTATAATCTCTTCTAAACATCTCTGGGCTTTTGTGATTTGCTAGAATCACAAAGACTTATATGGCCCAAATGGGGAAAAAAAAGTCATGATTGCTAAGTTTGCAAAGAGATTTTTCAATTACTTCTTAGGTTTTCTTTTATTATTATTACATTTAAAAATATTTGCGCCCAAGATGATCTCCACAGTTAGCTCAGACGGGATCAGATATGAGTTTCAAGTTTTCAAAGTTCAACTCCATTGGAGTTTCCTGTGTCCTAAAAATGTCTTCAATTAAAAGCAAGAAAAATGTATTTTTTTTTCATCCTCATCAAACTAAAAAAAATGGCTGAAGAGATTTTATTCAAACTTTTTCCCAAAATTCACCTTTTGCCAAGACCCAGCATGGAAAATTTCAGCCCAAAAGGATCACTCTTTGGCAAGTTACCCGAGCTAATGAAAACAGAGGGGCATAAAGGGAGTCTGTGTGCAGCGCTAACTATAGTGGTCACTGGAGCCCACATTGTATGAGAAGAAGGGCCTCTTTCAAAAACCCCCCTTTTAAGTCTTTTTTATCATCAATATGGATGAGACTGGGACTTGACGTGGGCACCAAGCAAAGGCACTTTCTTTATGAATACAATCCGGGCAATGACATTATTTCAAGTGCCTTTGCTCAGTTATGACTGTTATTTTGGAATAAACTTACTGTAAACAGAAGGTAGGACTTGCTCCAAAAAGTGTTGATTGATTCATTTGTTCATACATTCATTCATTCATTCACTCATTCATGTTCCAAGTGTTTATCGAATGCCTGCAATGTGCATGGCACTTTAATAGATGTTGGGAATACTATGGTGGTTCCTGCATTTGTGGGTTTACGTGAGGCGGAGAGGAAACAGATTAACTTACAAATTGTGACAAGTTCCATGCTGAGAGAGAGAAAATCAGGAACGGTGGTGATAAGAGGCCGCCTATATTGTTAGGGGGGCTAGTGAAGGTCTGATGCACACTCATTAGTTCATCCTTCCACAAACATTTAGTGAGTGACTGCCACGCCCTGGAGTCTACAGTGACCTAATACCATTTCTGCCATCAAGGTACTCTCAGAACAGGCCGGGTGCGGTGGCTCGCGCCTGTAATCCTAGCATCTGGGAGGTGGAGGCGGGTGGATTGCTCGAGGTCAGGAGTTTGAAACCAGCCTAAGCAAGAGGGAGACCCCCGTCTCTACTATAAATAGAAAGAAATTAATTGGCCAACTAATATACATAGAAAAAATTAGCCAGGCATGGTGGCGCATGCCTATAGTTAGTCCCAGTTACTCGGGAGGCTGAGGCAGTAGGATTGCTTGAGCCCAGGAGTTTGAGGTTGCTGTGAGCTAGGCTGACGCCATGGCACTCACTCTAGCCTGGGCAACAAAGTGAGACTCTGTATCAAAAAAAAAAAAAAAAAAAAAGGTACTCTCAGGACAATGGGAGAGCAGGTAAGTAGATAAGCAAGGAGCGCTTCACGGAGTTTTTTCCCTTTCTTCCTGAGACAGATACTGAGTGACAGGTGCTTTAATGCAGGCATGTGCCATGTCTCATGTGGGGACAGGGAGGAGATCTGAACATGCTGGGGTTGGCAGTGGTCAAAGAAGACTTTTCTTGGGGAAGACAATTCAACAGACATTTGTGCATGTTGATGGTGGGAATGCAGAGATGAATGAGGACCAGTGTTACTTTTGAGGGGCCTGGGGTCCAGTCTTGCTTCCTGACTCACCTCTTGGAGAGCCTGGAGCCTGATCGTGGTGTCTGATCTAGTCCTCCAGTAGCAAGCATGGAACTTGAGCCAAAAGAGGTGCTCAGTAAATGCTGGGTCCCTTTCTCTGATGTCTCATGGCGCACCTCTTTGGATTTAGCCTAGTGGTTAAGAACTTGGCTTTTAGACTTAGATTGCTTGGGTTCAAATTCTAGGGCTAGTACTCCCCAGCAATGTTGCTTTGAGTAAGTCACTCTCTGCACTACACGTTCCCTACATACAAGGCAGGGATGATAATGACACTTATAGTCTAGGGTTGCCATAAGGACTAGATGAGATCATGCTTCTCCCATCACTAAAGATACGACCAGCATACATCATCCCATGTGTCTTTAAGTGCTGCCTCACACTTTCCAGAACCCACCCGATCATTCAGTCCAACAATGATGGGCTGAGTACTCTTAAGTCTCCGGCATGTGCTGGGTGCTGTGATTCAGTAAAATCCTGCGAGACTCTGGGGTCTCCATCCTTCTTGATGGATAAATTCCCCAAATCTCCCTAAAGTTCTTTGCCTCCTCTACCCAGAGAAACAGGTATTTGTTGTCTCTGTAATACCAAAAAAATTAGAGGTGAGCGTCCATTCATTTTTCATCAGCACATCTGGCTGTTAGATGAAAAACTGCCAGGAATTTTGAAACATCTTGTTACTTTAGACATTAGAAGGCAGGGAGACTTCCCGTTATTAATTGGAAGTTAAAACTTCTTCCTGGCCCAGACAAGTGCAAAGCTGAGATTTCACAGGTCAGGGGAATGCTCACCAGCATTGTTTTTGCTTGGTATTAATTTATTTAGGGAGTAAAAGGAACAGAAGGAAGGTGGTTTCCAGAATGATAAATCAATGTGCCAATGTAAATGCAGTTGACAGAGGCCCCTGAGGTGGTGGGGAAAGTATCAGCCATGTGTGGCTCCATCTCCCTGAGCCTCAGTTTCCCTTTGTGTAAAATAAGGACAACAGAACCTCCTGGGTAGGGTGGGTTGAGCTTTAAAGGAGAGCATGAACACAGAAACACATCAGTGCTTCTTGCTTGCTAAAGGCTTCTTGTTTATTTTCAGCCCTGCCACATGTTCGCAAATCCTTGCAATGTGCAGTTGGAATGGATCAGGGACGGGGAAGGGGGATTTGTTTAGTGTGCGTGTGCACAGTGTGGCGTGTCTGAGATGGGGGCCTGGCCAGAGGCAGGTGGCTTTGCTTTGTTTACTGACAGCTTGTTGCGCGCCTTCCCTTGAGACAGGAAGGCTCTCTGACACCCCCTCACAGTAAGCTTCACGCCACCCTCCCTCTGCCACCCCATCTTTCCTCCTGGTCTCCAGGGAGGCAGGAGAGAGAACCGAGGCCCAGCCCAGCGCGCCAGAGCCAGCCTTGCCCGGCCTCTTTGGGGCTCTGCGAGGCTCTAACCCTGGGTCGGCCTGAGTCCCGAGGTCAAGGTCGAGGTCGGGTCCCGGCGCTGTCACCCTGTCACGCGCCACCGCGGCCCCCGCGCGCGGCAGAGCGCAGAGCCTCCCCGCAGCCCGCGCTGCCGGCGACCTGGGGAACTGACCAGGCCGCGTGTGAGCGCCGGGATCCCTGCTCCTGCCTTAAATATGCCGGTTATTTTTATCTCCCTACGTCAGGCGGCGAAGGCCATCCCACCGGTGGCCGTGGCGGCCGCTACACAATGTTTCTCTTTAGTCGGGAGGGGAAATGGAGGGAGGCCAGACTTCCTGATCACATGGTGCTGAAGTCAATGAAAAAAAATTAAGGGGGACCCCTCCCTTTTTCTCGAATGCCTGATCCAGGCCCCCCCAGCCCGCTCCCCCACCCACCCCGTCGGGCTCTCCCAGGCGGAGGGCCAGCGGGCCGGAGCGGCGCAAACATAAACACGAGATTGCTGCGGTAATTGGTGGCTCTGCAAACACTGAGGAAATGAGAGGCTTGTACGAAACATCAGCCGACAAGAAACGGGGTGATGTCAGACAGCCTTCCAGGATTAGAAACCCTTAAAAGCTCCGAGCCCGCGGCCGCTGCGGAAAGCTGCTTGGCTCTCCGGGTAGGAAGCCGGGACTTCGCTTTCCCCGGGCTCCGCGGCTGCTGCCCTCTCCCCTCTCTCTCTCTCTCTTTCTTTTCTCCTTCTCTCTCTTTTGCTTTCTCTCTTTTCCCCTTTCTATTTTTTCCTCCTCCTCCTCCTCCTCCTCCTCTCTCTCTCTCTTTCTTTCTTTTTCACTCTCCCTCCTTTCCTCTTCTGTTTCCTTTTTCTAGTTTTTTAAAACAAAAGAGAGCAGCCACATCAGATTTCCATTTCTAAGGCACCTTGTACTTTTATATTGTTTCCTTACTTTGAAACTCCACAGGCAACTCAACTCCCAAAGGCGACAAGTGAAACTTGGGTGTCTGTTGTTCGACTTTGTCATAACTTTCTCCTCTTCTCTGTGCTCCCCCACCCCCCTTTTCGGGTTAGAACTGCACATTGCAATAATTTGCAAACATGTTGGAAGGGGCTGGAAATAAACAAGAAGTTTTTACCAAGGAGGAGGACATTGAAGAAAATGGGGAAAATGCTTGCAGAAATCTGGCAGTTTCAAAAGAGAATATAGATCTCCCAGTAACACTTATCCTAGCCACCCAGCTAATAACCCCAGTGTTGTTGCCTGTTTTCTGGTCACGGTGTGAGATAATTAAGAGGACTAAATGTGCTCCCATGTGCGTGTACACACGCACACGCACACGCACACAGGCTGTGCCCCAGCCCAGGGGCAGGGCAGCTAACAGCCAGTGAGCCGGGTGGGTCCCGTGCCAGGTCCACCAGGAACCTTTCTGTGTCTTTAAGTTGGAGGCCAGACCTCATCTGTTCTGTGACACAAAAAGTGACGTCTGTCCAGGCTTTCTTTCCCGGTGTTTGCCAGGATTAATGAGGTGATGTTTGGAAAGGGCTTGAGCCCCTGCAACGAAAGGCATTCACGACACCTTTTCAAAGGACGATTGATGTCCAGTTTTACCCAAATAGGACCCCAGAGATTGTTTTCTTGTGTTTCGAGCAGGTGAACTCAGCACCTTGCTCCCTGCTCTGGGGCATTTCAGAAGCCTTAGAATCTGCCTTATTAATTGATCTGTCACCTCTTTACCATGAGGGCAGGTGTGTTTCCCTTTCTTCCTGAGACTCCAAGAAAGGTCACATCAAGGGCTAGTTTGTACAGCCTCGCAGCAATGGGACAGGTTCCAAAGACTTTCATTCCCTTCGCTGCTGCTCACGGTGAGCACAATGATCCCCGAGCAGGGCCCCCCTCCCCTGCACACTCATAAATCTTGTGGCCATTTCGCTTCTTTTAGTGCTTGACACTTCCAAACTGCCATTGTTCGAGCCAAGTATACTTTTTGGTCTTATCCAATATACGTGCGGCTGTGCCACCCTCCAGGCGGCAGATAACAGCTCTGTTTTCCATTCTCACGGGGGAGTTTTCCACCTTTGATGTTGCCCAGGGCTCTGCACATCGCGATGGGATAGGAAGCCTCATCGCTTCCCAGTCTTCTGCTGTCCCTGTGTGGGGTGGAGGTGTCTCCACTCCCTCAACTGCTCAGCCTGGGGGCCTAGGGGTCCCTCGTGTCCGTACGTGCTGTCTCCCCATACACATCACGGTGAACAGATCCTGTTGCTTATGCCCTGAAAAATCTCAGCTTCTCTGCTACTCCTTTCCACCCTCTGCCATAAAAAACTGCAACGGCTTTCACTGAGTGCGTGGGTGTGGGCGTCTCACAGCTCGATTTGCTACTTGGTAGCTTCATAACTTCAGGGAAGTAACTTTCCCTCTAGGAGCATCAGTTTTCTCACCTATAAAGTGGGGATAGTGACAGAACCAGCTCATAGGCACCCCCCCACTCTTAGATCTGCCTCCCTCTCTGCCTGCCACCAGTGTCCTTTCCCCCTCTGCACTGCCTGGCGAACTTCTCCCCACTCCAGGCCCAGACACAGGGCTTCCTCTTCTCCGAAGCCTTTCCTGCTCTTCCTCCCAGAGCCAGCTTCTTCCCTCCTCCCTGCCCCGCTCCCAGCTCTGACTCCCTTAGCAGTATTCGTTGGACTCCAGTGACCTTTGGACGTGACTGTCTCCTTCACTGGTCAGCAGGCTCCTCCATGAAGGGGCTGGGTCTTGTTGGAGTCTGTGTCCCAAGGCTCTGACTTGTGGAGTGGCTCCATGAATGTTTGTTGAATGAATAACAGAGGGATGAACCAGCAGCCCATCCTCTCGGAGAATCACAGCCTATCTGATAGGATTGTGGGGGACTCATATGTGCCCCACAACCCCCAGCCTCCCAGGTTCCACCTCTGACCTGATTTGAGGGGAGAATGCAGTTATTCGTATAACTCTAAGCTCCTTGTTCCTTTGTATCGCTGAGTCTACCTGACATTATTCTCCCCACCCACAGGAGAGTGACTGGGGCTTGGCAAGAGGAAGTGACTAGTAAAGGTTTTGGAACCCAAAAATGAAAGAGCCCGGCTCAGGTCCACTTGGATACAAGGACCTGTCCCATCCCTGCCCTGCCAAACACATGAACATGCACACACGTGCTCAGTTGTTAGGGACCGACCTTTTATAGCCCCACTGGACAGAAAAGCAGAGACATTGAGGATGCAATCACACAAGAGGAGGTTTATTTTTTGGCTAGCCAGGGTCTAAGCCCCAGAGCACTAATGTAGTGGCCACTTTTGCAGGCAAGGACCCTGACCTGAATTGCGGGGTGCCTTTTATCCCCCCCCCAAAGGGCCCTAGCAACGCACAAACTAATCACGCGCTAGTCATGAGCTGACCTTTGAAGTGATTAATTTTTTTAGTATCCTGCGCGATCTCTGCGCATCCCACCTCTCTTTTGCCTTTTTTTATAACCCAAGAGATAACCGGAGGTATAAACAGATGTGTGCTGTTTGCTATTTGCCTCACCCTACTTTATACAAAGAGGGGGAAAAATTTTTTTTTTGTTGTGCCACTGAGACGCCACCGAGGCGCCCCCACACAGTCACACAGACACATGTGGATCTAGCCATTACCGCTTTGTGGAGGGTAATGGCAGCAGCCAGTTCTAGAAGGGCTTGGCTAGAACATTCCCTATGGCAGTACCTGCTACTGTGTTATGGGCTTTGCATACATAACACTCTCTATTTAATCCTTACAGTAACTAAATAATATAGGTACTCATATTATACCCATTGTATAGATGAGAAAACTGAGACTCAGAGAGGTTAGATACTTGCTCAAGGTCACATAGCTAAGTAGGAAAAATACATGCTCATTTTTATAGCAAGCAACTAGACCAAGCATTTGGAGGCAGAAGAAGTGGAAAGACTTGGATCCTGATGATTTAGGTTTATTCCTTCTCTGTTTATTATTTCAGACAGATGTGATGGTACGAAGATGCTGGAGTCTAGGATTCTTAGAATGGCTGAGTTGGAGAGGCTGATCCATCATTTTATCCAACCTGCTTGGTCCCCAACTGGCCAGGTGGAGGCTCAGAGAGGGCTAAGTATGTGTCTCATGTCACACAACTCTCCCTCCCTTCTGTTCCCTGGGGGCCAGGTAGTCATGGTTTCAAGATGGATTCATGCTTTCATTTCAGCCATGCCACAACCCTATGAAGGAGGTATCTGTAGCCTGTTACATGGTGGCCACCAAAAAGATATATCCACATCCTAACTTCCAGAACCTGTCGATTTGGCCTTATTTACATCTTTGTGGATGTAATTAAGGATCTTGAGATGAGATTATCCTGGATTATCTGGTGGCTCTAAATCCAATGACGAATGTCCTTATGAGAGACACACAGAGGAGTGACACACAGGGGAGGAGGTGGCCATGTGAAGACAGAGGCAGAGACTGGAGTTGTGCAACTCCCAGCCAAGGAACACATGGAGCCAGTAGAAGTTGGAAGAGGCAAGGAAGGATTCTTCCTTATGTGTACACTTCAGAGGGAGTGTGGTCCTCCTGCTAATGCTTTGTTGTAGGACTTTGGGCCTCCAGAACTGTGAGATTAAATATCTGTTGTTTTAAGCCATGAAGTTTGTGGTCATTTGTTACAGCAACCCAAGGAAACTCATATAGATTATCCTTGTCTCCATTTTCCAAATGAGACCACTGCATCTGAGAGGTTGAGTGCCTTTTTCAAAGCCGCCCAGCTCATAAGGGACTGTGGTTCCTGCTCAGGCTCATCTGACTCAGATGCTGGTACTGAGGTCCCCGGTCAAGTGAGAAGAGCTGGAGGGACGCAGCGGAAGGTCTCCCAGGTGAGAAGACTCAGACTGGCCCAGCCGCAGGAGGGTGGGACGTGGTCCTTTCCTTTCTGAGGCAGATCATTTAAGTCAGAGAATCCCTTGGAGAGGGATGCCTCTCCCGCTAATCTCACAAAGGCAGGGAGGTGGGGAATTGAAGGGGATTTGGGCGGTTGGATTTCAGAGATGGTTCAAGGCCCATGGTTTGGGGGAACACTGGCTCATCCACACGTTTCCAGATAGCAACTTGCCAGCCAAGTGAGCCACAAGTCTGCCATAGCAGACTGTGCCTAGAAAAACACAGATTTTTCTTTCCTTTTTAATTTATCCTTCTCCCTCTCTCTCTCTCTCTCTTTTTTTAAACACAAGCCAGGCTGGGAGGAGCCTCAATAAGGAAGGAAATCAATAGGAAATGCCTTTAGAAAATGAGATTTTTTAGAAAGCATGTCATGTCATCATTCTTGATGCAAAGGCTTGTGCCCTGCAATTTGAAACAGGAAATAGGAGAAAGCAAAGGCAGCCCATGCGAGCACATGTGGAGGCTCCTCCTTGCAGAAGCCAGCTGTGGAGGCAGGGCTGGCAGCTGTGGGGCTGGGGCCAAGTCACATGGAGGCCAGTTGAGGAAACAGTGGGTGTCGGCCTGGAGAAGGCCCGTCTCGGGCGGGGCATGGGAGTTTGCGCCACACATCTGAGGGCCGTCATGGGTCAGTGGGAGCAGGTGTGCTCTCGTAGGGCCCAAGGCGCTAAAACCGCCGGGCTGGACATATCACATGAAGCAGGAGAATGCAATGGATCAAGGCTCCAGAGCCACGGGTTCCAATCCCGGCTTTGCCACTTGCTGACTTGGACATGTTATTTAATTCTCTGGTCCTCTGTGTCATCTGCAAAATGGGGGTAGTAGCAGCACCTTCCTTGTATGGTTATTGAGTGGATTAAATATACATGTATATAAATAAAATTTAATCTGCTCAACCACTCTATAGAGTTACATATAACTGTCTATATCTATGTATCTATAGATACCTGTCTCAACAACAATTACAGAAAATATACTGTATATATATATATAGTTATATATTTTCTGTAATTGTGGGTTTCTCATAGGTGGATTCAATCGATAACAGATTGAAAATATTTGGGGAAAAAAAGCATCTGCACTAAACATGTACAGACTTTTTTCTTTTTTTTACCCAGAGCCATGCCCAAGAAGCCTTGAGCAAGTGGACTCCCAGACTTTTTTTTTTTTTGAGACAGAGTCTCACTCTGTTGCCCAGGCTAGAGTGCCATGGTGTCACCCTAGCTCAAAGCAGCCTCAAACTCCTGGGCACAAGCAATCCTCCCGCCTCAGCCTACCAGATACCTTAGACTACAGGCACACGCCACCGTGCCTGGCTGATTTTTTCTATTTTTAGTTGTTTGGCTAATTTCTTTCTATTTATAGTAGAGATAGGGTCTCACTCTTGCTCAGGCTGGTCTTGAACTCCTGAGCTCAAGCAATCTTCCTGCCTTGGCCTCCCAGAGTGCTAGGATTACAGGTGAGAGCCACTGCGCCCGGCCCCAGATTTTTTTCTTATCATTTAAGTAATACAGTATAGGCTGGGCATGGTGGCTCATGCCTGTAATCTTAGTACTCTGGGAAGCTGAGGTAGGAGTTTTGCTCGAGATCAGGAGTTCGAGACCAGCCTGAGCAAGAGTGAGACCTTGTCTCTACAAAAAAATAGAAAAATTAGCCGGACATGGTGGCACATGCCTGTAGTCCCAGCTACTAAGGAGGCTGAGGCAGGAGGCTTGCTTGAGCCCAGGAGTTTGAGGTTGCTGTGTGCTATGATGATGCTACTACACTCTAGCCAGGGTGACAGAGAGAGACTGTGTCTAAAAAAAAAAAAAAACACCTAAAAACAACCCCCCCAAACCAATACAGTATAACAGCTATTTACATATCATTTTACATTGCATTAGGTGTTATAAGTGGTCCAGAGACTATTTAAAGATCCAGGAGGATATGCGAAGGTTATATGCAAGTACTGTGCCATTTTATATAAGGGACTTGAGTATCCTCCTTTTTTGGTGTTCTGGAGGGGTCCTGAAACCAATCCCCCAGGGACACCAAGGGACGACTGTGTAGTTCTTGGAACAGTACTCTCTAGATGTTAGCTATTTTTATCTTCTCTTGGAGAGGTCAAAGATGCCTTTCTAGAGGACACTGAGGTGGGGTCTGAAAGACAGGCGGAAGGTATTTGATACATGCGGGCTGTGCGCCAGGTTACAGCAAACGGAGCAGAGGAGGCCCCTCTGGGTACCTTAGGCTGCCCCATGTGCTGTGGCACCTTGGAGGGACAGTGCCGAGAGGTGGGTTGGCGGAGCTGCCAGGGCGGGTGCATGGAGGGTGGGGTGTCTAAGTTAGGAGCTCGGACGTGGTCCTGTGGGCGATGCTTCTTACATTTGAGCATGTGTCAGAATTGCCTGGAGGGCTCCTTAAAACACGAGTTGCTGAGTCCCACCCGTAGACATTCTGATCCAGTAGGTCTGGGGTGAGGTTTGAGAATTTGCCTTTGGAACAAGTTCCCAGTTGACACTGATGGTGCTAGTCCGGGGAACATATTTCGGGAACTATGGCTGCAGATGACGTGGGCAATTGCAGGGTGAGGGCAGGTTCGAAGGCAGGTTTCAGGGGAAATGCACCCAGTCTTGCTACTGCTGAGGCCACAAGAACAGCCACCTGAGACCAGGCTGGGAGAGTGTTTGGAGATGGCATCCTCTGCTCCCCACGCTCCGAGTGCAGCTTTTAGCTGGGCGCCACTGCAGGCATCTTCACACTTTATGTTCCTCCTCTACTGAGTGTGGCCGTGGGAAGGGTGACCTACTTCCTGGAAACCCCAGGGGTAGAAAGCCAAAGTCCAGGGAGCAAAGGGAAACCTCTCAACTGCCCCCCCCACCCTCTGCCTGACGCCCACCTGGGCCTCGGTCAGCAATTGTGGTGGCGGCTTCCTGGGGTCACTGAGGAAGGGAGGACAGTGATCAGGCTGCATCCCACCCTCCCTCTCTGTCAGTGCTGAAGGAAAAACAATATTTAGTTAGTTAAACACCCAGCTACAGTTTCGTTTGAAAAGCTGGCTTTGATTAGGAGACTGCAGGGATTGATTTATGAGGACAGATGAAAAAAAGAACAAGCATAAATATGGGGAACTCACCCAAAAGATGACTAAGGGGGCAGAAAATATATAGAGTCCGTGCAAGTGGAGATGGGAAAGGACTTATTAGGCTTTTTGGTCCCAGCTCGGGTTCATGCAGTCACAGTCCTGACAATATTCTTTCAGGATCTTAGCCTGGACTGGCCTTAAATCAAGGGTTGGGGCACCCACTTCCCCCAGGAGAGTCTAATTTCTAAAGTAGTATAGTTTTCCATACCTATATCAAACGAATATGTTATACATAATGAATATATTAGATATCAGATGAAATATTGTAATACAATGAATATATTAGATATCAAATGAACATAATATTTCATTCTATTACACATAAATATATATATGCAACACATGGAAATATGAAGAATATGTTATAAATATATAATGAACATATATAATGAAATATTATATATGAAATAAGAATGCATCATGTATACGAAATATCATTTTTTTTCTTTCTATAGTAGGCCTGTGAAGGGTTAGTCATTGGTGCATTGTTTGAAAATGAAAAATTGGAAATACTCTAAAGTATCCATCATAGGGGCTGGTTAGATAAAGGACCACCCCTCCTACTACGGAATTGTCTGGGGAGGTTTACGAAGAATTCTGTGGCCGTGTCTGTACGTGCAGTGGTCTCAGGTAAGGTCTCAGGTTACAGTGGTCATACGGTAAGGTTCAGAATAGCACGTATGGTCAATTCCTTTCACATAAAACCATAAACACACACACACACAAAGCCACATATTTCTCCTACGAACAAATGCAGGTATAAACTCATAGCCTGGAAGGACACACTTCGAAACGAGCCTGTGGGGAGAGAGGAGGGGTGGGCGACCTCAGGGAGGTTTCTGCTTTATATGCAATGTTTGAGTTGCTTGCATGGAGAGTGTGTTGATAGATTACTTGTATAATTAAAAAATGATTAAAAACATTACTGAGTCCTTCCCTGGGCTCCTGTGGGAAGGAAGAGGACAGCTGTGGTCCTGCCCCTACACATGTGTTCCCCCCACCCCCCAGGGCCTCAGCAGTGTCCTCTGCCCTTTAGCCCAGGTTTCTGCCTCTTGTCCCGGGCTCCTGTGGACACCCACCTGCGCCAGGAGCTCCTCCCTGTGGGCTCCCCTGGACTTAACCTGGCCGTGACCTGACCCTCACCTCAGTGTCACCCGTGTGACTGGAGACGCCTCGTCTCACCTGAGCCCATGCAGAGCTGCCTCAAGTGCTCCGTCTCCTCCAAGAGAGCCCCACCTCTGTCCTCTTAGACTGGCTCTTGCCATTTGGCGTGGCCACCTTTCTCCTTGCTGCCCTGTCTGCCTCCCCTCCTACCCCTCTCAACTGGAGTAGTGAGGCTGAGACCACACGAGCCGCGCCACCACTCGAGGTCACCCTCAAAGGTCTCTCCCTGCTAGGATCTCTGCACAGCTCCTGTCCACCTCCCTGTCTTTCCTTCCAAGACGTAGCCCTCCTCTGGCTGGCCTGCTGCCGAGAAAGTCACGGGCAGTTGTTGCTTCTGCACCAATTCCAGCATCTCATTCCTGGGAGGTCTGGCCTGGTGGTGCCCACATGTCCGTGGTGGGCGAACAAGACGGATCTTCTGG